AACAATATATACTAATTTTTAAAGTATCAAATTGAATTTTCGTTCAATATAAATCTTTCAATTGCTACTGTAGCTTTTTTTCCCCAAAACTATGTCTTCAAAATAAGGGTGCGTCTTATATTCCGAAAAATACGGTAAGTTTATTTTGTATATGCGAATTATTGTCGTATTTTAAAAATATGTATATTTGTCTTAGAAATCGTAATAAGTTGACTTATCAAAATATATAGACTTACACTAAAATTTAAGTCATTATAATGATGCATTTATACAAAATTCATAAGTTTAAAGAAAATGTGTCATTTTTCTTCGTATAATATTTGCTGAATCCGCGTAAAGTGTAAATAGTACCGAATTACTCGTGTTACATTTTACTGAGTTTAGTTTTACAAGCAAAGCATTTAAAATATATTTTACAATATTAAAAACAATTTATGAATTAAGATGTTTAAAAGTTATTCCGAACCGTTGCCTTAATGTATTTGGAACTTTGTTTATCTAAGTTTGAAATCCTTTTTAAATACAGAATGCTGTTTTTTTTTTTTTCTCAAATACGTATATAATTTCTACAAAATTCCTATTGCTTTGTCATTTCATTTTTATGTATTGCTCAAGCAACTTTCGAAAAACGTATCAATACATTAATGTTAATTTATATACGGACCTTAATGTTAAAATGTGATTAAAATATATCTAATTGTGATTGAACTTGCATTTTTAAAGCTCCCTACAGTAAGTTTGTGTAAAAAGGAAACAATCTATTTTCCACGTGAGTACTTTTTAACCAATCAATTGGTTTCATTTACAATCTAATTTTGTTAACTCACTACATGAACGTTACACGAAGGTGTAAAATCATGAACCCAGAGACATTTTAAAATTCACTATGTTGCAAGGTTTGAGTAAAAAGTTTCTGAAATATCTAGAGAGGTGCCTTAGTTCCCGTAAATTGATATTTGTAATTCGATAATGTTAATTTAAAAGCTATTCAGGATTTGTTGGTTTTTATCTAGTCTGAATCTTCATACTTTTATTGGAAAGAAGATTTAATTAATTTCGTTGTTTACCTCCCACTTCGAGTCTAAAGTTATATTATAAACATATAAATGGTATATTTTCCTTATATCTCAGTTCGTCTATCTGCATGTTGTGATAGCCAGTTTTAAAGTAATTTGATGATGGAAAAGCAAATAAATATTTTCCTTTATTTTGATGGTATAAAAGGCAACAAATGAATATATTGAGAAGATAATGAGTTACGAAAATAGGATATATTGCTATATGTTTATTTTGCCTGTGCTGTTATGTAGGGATGATGCAAGTACCATCCTTATTATTTTGTTTGCATTGTTTTTGAATAATTGGTATTAGCCATCCCTAAATTTACTTCCTTTTTTAAAAAGTTTTTCCTTAGTTGTTTGCTTGTTGTTGTTTTTTTTAATGCAGTGTTTCAATAGACATAGGCAGTTTGTATTTATAACCAAGTTCTAAATACAACAGGTTCCATCTGTAATATTTGTTGTTTATCTATGATTGTATAACGTACAAAGTATTCTACACGTTACAGTCATCTAATGTTCATCTATTATTGGCTGATAATTCCTGTTTCACTCTGTACACAAGCTTTTTAAAAGAACACTAAATTTACGTAACAAAGCTAACTTCAACAGGTAATGATAGCATCGTGTACACTAGAATCATAACTTGTATTAAATTACTACTAGTTAATACAACTTATAAAAGTGGATACTCCATTTGAAACTATGTCACCTCAGTGAAATGGGTTGGCGCCATTGTTTTGGTTTTTGTGTTATCATATAATAAAAAAGAAGCAGAAGAAAGAAGAACAAAAAATCCAAACTTTTTGCTATGATATTTACAGACATTCCCGGAACTTGGGACACAGTTATTACATAGATATTGTTATAAAAAAAAACACTGTATAGTATTATAAAGTTCTGATGATCTATTGAGGAAATATTTATAATACCATTTCGATGAACAATCTGAGCCATCCATACATAGACAGTGCTATCGCCTGCCTGATAAAATTAACCTTTATTAGAGCTATAGGTGCATGAATTTGAGCAGTAAAACTGTCTGAAGAATAATAATAGCATAAAAACGTTCGAAGACTTCGAAATAGTTTTAAATTTTTGGGTGAAGAATATTAGTTTCATATCAATAAATGCTAAAAATGTTCGTAATATTTGGACCAGCCTTGTCCCCCTCTTTTTTAAGCGCATATCGAACCTCACACGCAAAAATCAAGTTTATTATATCAATTTAAAATTTAAAATGATGTTAAACATCATTGTGTACTAATTATTTTAAGTTAAACTTTTCACAGATGGTATCCTACAACGACAACTGTATCATTTTAATTTTCTGCAATTTATTGTATAGATATTCTGGCCACCATTAAGAAACCTCTTCATTCCTATCTTCTTGAATTGTTGGCTTGCTAAATTTGCCCTGGAAAATATGTTTGTAAGTATTTAAAACATCTTCCAATAGGACTCAAGTCTTGAAAAATAACCACGTTTTCTTTGGTAACTAATTCGTGTATATAAGTTTTAAATTATGCTAACATCGAAACTTCAGAGTTTTATTTTCTAGATAATGGAAACTTTATAGTTCAATTTTATAATATTTTTACTATAACGCCTAACTCATTACCTTCTATTGACCCTTTTAAATTATTACAAAAAAATAATCTTATTAATTTCAACACTTATGTACATTTAGAAAATACCACAATGAATTGTGGAGAATAAAACAACTTATATATCCTAAATCGTTAATGAAGGTTAAATGGCACCTTGTTGGTTGTCCAGAATCGCTTTCTGTAGAAGAATCACAAGAGTTTCTTTGATTCGAAGTGTAGATTCATTTTCTGCTTTCCCTACTACTTCGAACATCGTGGGCGAGATAAACGCATCACAGTCTCGAATTTTCTTTCAAACGATCTCTTAGTACAACCACCAATAAGGATTTAGGATATAGATGGTAATTTTTATTATTTCTTTATTTATAAAGTTTGATTATTCATTGCTCTTGCTTTACTGTTTACAGAACGACCTTCACAGGGCCATGCAGAGGTCTCAGTCTGCTTTATCTCAGCGCTTGACGATCCTTACAGCCACACTACTGTGCCTTATATTTACAAGGTAAACTGTTTTCATATATGCGGTTTATAGCGTGTGATAATCTAACAATAAGTCTGATGAAAGTATTTAATGGCCGTCGTTACACATATTTCAATTCTTCGGCTACTATTCTATGACTGAATAGTGGGATTTAGTCGTAACTCTTATAATGTATTCACGGCCGCAAAGTTCGGAGCCCGATTTGTTTCTTTTTGTAGGTTTGTTTTGGCGGGAGCGAGACGTGAGCCAAGGAGTCTCAGATCAACAGCCTGGCACGCTAACCGTTGGACTTCACTAGGCTCGTAGCCTTGGGTGCAGCAGTATTCAGAAGTGAAATAAAAGTATTTTGGTTTGCCTATTAAAAGTATATCTGTACAGCTTGATTTAATGTCTATCAATACTTCTTCGGATATAGGCCATCCAAGATGTTGTACATGTACGCGCTTGAAGAAACAGAAGTAGAAATATTTCAACATGAAGCTTTTATGAAACAAAATGTTCACATCTGACAAGATGTAGATATTGTGTTTGAAAACAAAACTGAAAATCATCTTTAAAATAAAGGAATAAATATTTATACCAAGAAAATGTAAAATCAGTTTATTAGTTCCATTACATTTTATCAGCAATATTTCTTAATCAAAAACAAATAAACCAAAACATCATTAATGTAACGATATTTAATTTATCACTGTCTTTACAAGGAAACAAAGAGCAGGATGATAAAATATGCCTAATTTTTCAACTTGCTCCATCAGTATGTAAAATGAAACGTAGTTACTATTCGCCATGAAAAGGTAGTTGGTTGAATTTTGCGCAAAGCTACACAAGGTCTGTCTGCGCTAGTTTTAAAGTGATAACCTAGCTAGTCAGTATCACACACCAAAATTGTTACCAAACACCCCTTACAAGCATGTGCTTAGAGAAACAGGGGTAGAAAAAACCTCGGATGTCACGTACAGTTGGTTTACTATGTCTATTAGTACTTCTTCAGGTCTAAGCCATCCAACATGTCATCAAACACCCCTTACAAGCACGTGCTTGGAGAAACAGGGGTAGAAAAAAACCTCGTACAGTTGGTTTAATATGTCTATTAGTACTTCTTCAGGTCTAAGCCATCCAACATGTCATCAAACACCCCTTACAAGCATGTGCTTGGAGAAACAGGAGTAGAAAAAAACCTCGGATGTCACGTACAGTTGGTATACTATGTCTATTACTACTTCTTCAAGTCTAAGTCATCCAAAATGTTATCAAATAACTCATACACGTACGCGTTTGGAGAAACAGGAATATAAATATAACTCCGACATCACGGATGGCTTAGACCTGAAGAAGTACTAATAGACATAGTAAACCAACTGTACGTGACATCCGAGGTTTTTTTCTACTCCGGTTTCTCCAAGCACGTGCTTGTAAGGTGTGTTTGATGACATGTTGGATGGTCTATACAGTCTGAAACAGTACTTAGAGACGTATGAACCCAAATTATATATAATGTTTGAGGACATTTACATTAAGCTAACTTCTCAAGGTCACGTGTTCATTAGCTTCATGCAATTTTTGACGAACTTTGTCAGTTATAGTCCTTGACTGAAAAAAGCAGTTCCGTGTTTCTATAAAGATTTTCATAAAATTTTATCGTAGTTGAGCATACATTACATCGCTACGTCATTCACCAGATATTGTCAGAAGATTCTTTAATCACTGACCACACATCATTCTGTTATATTCTATAATATTTATAAGTAAACCTAAAAGAATAGTGACTTTTGACAAATTTACTGTTTTTATCATCATTGTAACAGTTATCTGTATTTCTAAATGACATTCTTTCAGATATAGCAGAAATAAATTGGAACAAGATTTAAATATAACACTGAAAACTTAAATTTCTGGAATCAGTTAACATTACAAAAATAAATATATCAAGTCTTTTATTCACTCTTTTTTTCTTTAGAAAATAAAGTATATTGAATGGTTAATATTACTCGAATCTTGATAAAAAAAACGAAAGATGTGGCAAAAAATGAATTATGGAAAAAAGAGTAGACAAAGATACAGGTTGACGTAAAATAGAATTTATCTAAGACTTCTGATAAAGATTACGTAACTTGTTGACTTTTTCTGCAGTCTTCTTAATTTGTTCATTTAGGATGCAAAATCAGAAGTGTGTAAAATAGCATTTTAGATCTCTATTTTATCACCTAAAATTTGTCTCCGAAATGGCCTTTCGTTAATAACAGAACTTTTCAGTTGGGCAAAAGATTCTCTGAAACGCAATTTATGTGTACAATAAAACACTTTAACATTTACTATCCGAATGTAGAAAGCTGACAAAGCAATAAAAACCAACAGGCCTAAATTTACTTTCCTGTAACCTCTGACGGATTTCAGTTAATGATGAACTGACATTTATTGTTTATTGATTTATTTGCAGAAGTTAAACAAAGTTATCTGATCCTAATATTACTTATATGCTTATCTTATTATTGCAAAACTAATCTTCATAGTATCATCAGCGCTGTGCATTAAATGTCACCATACTGAAAGAATATTAGTAATAAATATTCTTAGTCGGATCACTCCAAACTCCCAGGCATCCTTTAGTAAGAAAAAAAGAGGATTTGTTTGTTTGGAATTATGCACAAAACTACACATTGGGCTACCTATGCTCTGCCCACCACGGGTATCGAAACCTGGTTTCTAGCGTTGTAAGTCCGCAGTCATGCCGCTGTGCCACTGGGGGCAAAAAATAATAATGATAATAAAAGAGGATGAATATTACAACGTCTGCAATAAGTGTATTTAATTATTTTGTTTTAGATGTATGTTTTCTAGCAATAATTTGCTGTCAATAGAACTAAACACTTTAACAGTTGTATCCTTAACTACCAGTTATTATATGGACATTCAATGCATTATTACTTCACAATGCAGCAGTTGTGGTAATGTTATTGTTGCAATTAATCACTGATTAGACAGGATTCTATGGTAAAGGATGTTGAACTGATTCAACTTTAGAATAAATTAAGGACAAGTGACTGAAATAGGGAAGTACAATCTTTATGGATAAATAATTATAAAGATGTCTAGAGGAAGTGAATGAACATCCTGTGGAGATTGATGAATGAATGAATGGGTTGGAGGAAGTGACTGTAGAAGGAAGTACAGTGAACAATCTTTATGGATAAATAATTATAAAGATGTCTAGAGGAAGTGAATGAACATCCTGTGGAGATTGATGAATGAATGGGTTGGAGGAAGTGAATGTACAGACTTGGGAAAGTGAATGAATAGGAACTATAAGTTGTTAGTAGATACTAATAAAATTGATGAAGTGACAGTAGAATGAATTTAACTGTGATTTAAGAAAACATGGACACCTGGATGTGCGATTACTGATGGGGAAATTTAACAGATACTGAGAGAGATATTTGTTTCAGATATATGTATACCACATTACAATCTCGACACTGTTTAGCCCTTATATTAAATGCCCGTGAAATTCTTTTATTTTTATGTTAACCTTCCCTCACATATAGTTCTTTTATTTATTAATCCTTCTATTAGTAACAATAAACAGCTTTTCTTTCTTTGCTATACGTAAATAAATGGTTGAATTGTTGAAGTTTCTGATAATCAATACTTTACACTATTTACTTGTTCAGGATGAAACAAAAGAAAATGAAGTAGTTTTACCTGTCACAATATATAACCGGTTACGCAATAAACAGTTATCTAAGGGTAAGATTTACTGCTGATTATTAGCCTATTTTTGATTTGTAAGTTCGTAGACATCAAACTCTTTCTGATCAATGATAAACGCCCCCCAGTGGCACAGCGGTATGTCTACGGACTTTTTATACTCGTGATGGCAGAGCACAGATAGCCCATTGTTTGACTTTGTGCTTAACTACGAACAAACGAAACTCGTCATCTCTTTTATATGTATAAATATAAGGAGAAGTGTATTATGAAAGTTAAACAAGTGACTTTTTTTATTATAAAATTACCTTTTCTTCTGTCGGTCCGGCATGGCCAGGTGGTTAGGGCGCTCGACTCGCAATCTGCGGGTCGCGGGTTCGGATCCCCGTCACACCAAACATACTCGCCCTCTCAGCCGTGGGGGCGTTATAATGTGACGGTCAATCCCACTATTCGTTGGTAAAAGAGTAGCCCAAGAGTTGGCGGTGGGTCGTAATGACTAGCAGCCTTCCCTCTAGTCTTACACTGCTAAATTAGGGACGGCTAGCGCAGATAGCCCTCGTGTAGCTTTGCGCGAACTTTAAAATAAAAAATAAACTTTTCTTCTCTCTCTTTACAGTCTCTAATGTAGCAAGTTCCAACGACGGGGATGGCACATCTCAAAACTCTACCTGTTAAAACATAAAATAATATTTATTAATAGTTAGAGAATTAGGCTAAATGGTCGTAGAAGAAATCTGTAAACATTATTTAATTCTTCCAGAGGTATTACAGCTTTGATACAGCAATTTCAAAGTCAAGTCCTTGATGTATGTAATCTAGCATCAGATGAACACTAATATCTGCCAGTGACGGCGTAAGTATTAAGATAATAATAATGTGTGTTTGTTCCATTCCAAAGCAGGGTAAAATAAAGGTCAGCTCATCTACCTATCTTCTATGAGAAATATTAGTGATAGCCATGTGGAGCCAAAACAAATCCAATGGTTAATGGCCTGAGTGTTGGCTTACCTGATAACGCCAGAACAGTGTGAGGTCTAACAAAGTTTTAGCAGGTCCCATATTCCCTAAACATTGTATCTAACTCCTATATGCATGTACAGTTATGTACCGCCTTTTTATTTAATACAATCTGTTTACTGTTTTCTTCTAGGATAGTGGTCACATCCAACATGAGTCGAGCAAGATTAAATCAGCTGGTCTGGCAGCTCTTTCTGCCTGTTTTGGGTTCTGTAGCTGTGGTCTGATACAAGAACAAAACTGCTGCTCCCATCTCGCGTCAGCCACACAATCTAGCTTTAGCAATCAAATTTCCAATGCTCCCACTGTCTAAATAGCCAAAACACCTGGAAGTCAAGTTTCCACTGCTCTCGCTGTCTCAATAGCCAAAACACCTGGGAGTCAAGTTTCCACTGCTCCCGCTATCTCAATAGCCAAAACACCTGGAAGTCAAGTTTCCACTGCTCCCGCTGTCTCAATAGCCAAAACAACTGGGAGTCAAGTTTCCACTGCTCCCACTTTCTCAACAGCCAAAATATCTGGAAGTCAAGTTTCCGCTGCTCCCACTGTTTCAATAGCCTAAACACCTGGGAGTCAAGTTTCCACTGCTCCCACTGTCTAAATAGCCAAAACACCTGGTAGTCAAGTTTCCACTGCTCCCACTTTCTCAACAGCCAAAACATCTGGGAGTCATATTTCCACAGCTCCCGCTGTCTCAATAGCCGAAATAGCTGGGAGTCAAGTTTTCACTGTTCCCACTGTTTCAATAGCCAAAACATCTGGGAGTCAAATTTACACCGCTCCCATTGTCTCAACGGCCAAAATATCTGGGAGTCAAGTTTCCACTGTTCCCGCTGTCTCAATAGCCGAAATAGCTGGGAGTCAAGTTTTCACTGTTCCCACTGTTTCAATAGCCAAAACATCTGGGAGTCAAATTTACACCGCTCCCATTGTCTCAACGGCCAAAATATCTGGGAGTCAAGTTTCCACTGTTCCCATAGCAGAGATTTTACGTTGATTAAAACCCCAGTTTAGATCGTATTCTTGCTACAGTGATGTTTCAGTAAGCATGAGAGACTCTATATTGGTTGAGCTGTAACATGTTGTGGTTCTGGTGACTTCGCTGCTTGATACTCTTTCTCCATTCTCTGAGGTATAAAGTCCTTTATTAGTCACGTTGTTGAATCATTAAAAAAAATTAAAGTTGGTTTTACTACGTAATTAAAATGATAAACTTGATTTATTATATTCAGGTATTAGCAAGTCTGGCCCTTCTTACGAAGTTGTAGTATTATATCTAATATATTCTGCCTGTTAATATCTCGTACTTTATTATAAATGTAGTAAAGTGGAATATTTCACCATTAAGGTATTTTGGAATACTATGTGCCTTAAGGATGTGGTAAACTTTGTGGTAATTTAATCAAAATATGGCTATAAGAAAACTATATTTGTAACAGCAAAAAATGTTCAATGTTATTTACTTCCAATAATTAAATTTCATTCAAGACGGCCTTCTAAAAGTTATCGCCACGTTCTTGTCCACGTTTTTTAGAATACAATCATATTTTCGATAGAGCTTTATGACACCGCTTATTGGAAATTATTAAAGTAACCGAATAAAAAATATATTGACTGGAATAATACAGGGTGGGAGAAGTTTCCTTTGATTAGTTTGTATGTTTATTAACACGATCATCTGCTGTTTCAATTGAAAGTTTATGATAATAAAATATCAAAAAATACACATTTTAAATTGATACAAGCGTCTCTCATTTTCATGCACAGTAATCATCCTTTTTCAGTTTTAAACTATATGTATTTTTTTCTGTTTTTTCAAATTATTATAAAATCCTTTTTTTTACTGACGGATATATATTGAAATGAAAACTGTCTTAATAAGGAACACAATATTATCAAACATTTTGAAAAACTTATATGTATATATCAAGTACGTAACACTTTGTGTCACACATGCGCTGAACCATTTAGACAGGTAGCTTGCTCCCAATTTAAAAACATTACAGCAACAAATATATTTCCAAGTGTTTATGGACCTATTCTCAACACTCTTTTCTCATAGCTATATGAGATGAGATTAGTGGCGATAAAGAACAAAAAACTGTAAACAAGAACATTTAAGAAACATTCTACGTAAAACGGTGGTTGCCCTGACGAAGTTTCAAGTTTTAAATAAGTCCCCATAGACCCATGATTGTGAAAAACACAAAAGTCCAGGAAGCTTAACAAATCCTTGAAATGCTTTTAGAACGAAACGCTAAAGAATGAGAAACCGAGACACATTCAGCTTTCGAAACGCAAGGACATCAAATCAGAATTCTGGACTTTTGTTTTGAAAAAAGAAATGTCATGTCAAATGTTAGTAGACACAGACAAACATAATGTTAAAATTGAGTGTTAGCATTCGTTAATATGTGCATCGATAATAAGCACAGAAAATGCGTGCATAAAGTTCAATTAGTGTAGTTTAGTGTAAGCAAAGACGTTGAGAATAATATAGTATACTCATCAATAGAAGGTTTATGTGATGCCCTTAGTAACTAGGACTTAGTCACACATTACTTGTAGAACAGAAACAGTCTGAAGGATTCGAAATGGTGTATATAAGTGTTTTACACTGACAAAAAAGAAACCTATCATTCTATAGGTATTTGAAGAACTTGTATCATTTCGTCACAATTTAATTCTTCGTATTGTTAGTCGACACTAGGCAGCTGGTACGTAATTGAATAGAGTTGTTTAAACTATTTTAACATACGAATATCTTGTTATCAGTATATAGTTTCAGCTTGGTTAAGTGGGGAAGATTATTTGTACTCCTTTTGTTGTTTTTAGAAATGATGATTAAGTCCAACAAACTTCTACTAAAGGTCGTATTTTTTCTGCTTTTTAAACAATGGCCTTGCGTCTATGTATCCAAGAGATCTCAATGCTTTGGAGAACAGTCCTGTCAATCCCCTCCCCTTTTATTTCCATAAACTATCAAAATTATTTTAAACTTGCAGCCTCAAAGTGCAAGTTTATGCAGACCAAGGCTCATCCTTGGAGCCACATCAAGAGACTTAACAGGTTCGAATGAAAACAGCTGTTCATTTTGAAGTATTGTGTAGTTTCTTTTGTGAGATTTCGTTTACTACCATGTTAACTGTGGCAGGAGATTCGCCCAGTTTTATTTTAACCATACTCTTCAATTAGCAAATGAGGACGTTAGTTCGTAGGTGCTTGGGGTTTTGATCAGTCTTAAATTCGAGAATAACAACATTAGTCCTTATTGAGGAGTTATTTCTGATCCTTTTCTTATCCTAAACGCTCTAACGTGAGTTTTTTCTTTGTTTCTACAGAAAACATTGAAGACACTCATCTTTACATTTCATATGTATCAGTTTTTACTATACTTTACTTGTATAATAACTTTTAGAATATACTTATTGTACTGAAACTGTTGTAAAACCTTTTAAAGCAACTCTCCGATGGAATTAAAACTCTTTTTTTTCCATTGTTTTGTAATTTATAACTAGACATTTCTTATTCTGAAAAAGTGGTTACATTATTAGAACTTTTTCACGTATTATGGAAATAAAAATCATGATTTTACCTTAAATGTTGCTCCGAATAAAAGACATTGTATATTTGTTAGAAACAAATCTTGCTACACACAAATTTATCTAAGCCGCAGTGTGACACGTGGTAATGAATTAAATCAGTATGGTGTAGGAAGGTCGATCTTTATTTCGGCCTAGCTGTTACATAGTTTAGCTGGATTTTAGATTTACAACATTACTGAACGTACACATCTTTTCCTTAAGAATGTTGTACAGACTCGATAAGTATATTTACACTTCAAATTCATGTGTTTTAATAACGTCACATTACAGGAAAATCAAGGGAAGTTGTGAGAACTTCTGATAAATAACACTTGTCTTGTATAATCACAGTGTTTGTGGCTATCAACACTTCCAGAGGGCGGGCAGTCTTCACGTGAACATGCTTGAAAGTTTGTACTTTGTAGTGGTAACCTTTTCTACGGTGGGCTATGGTGACTACAGACCTGATAACTACCCATCCCAGCTCTTTATGGTCGTGATGATATGTGTGGCGTTAGTAGTTCTACCCACTCAGGTAATAAAGCTAGCTGTGAAAACTATCAAAGCTATCGTTAACGTGAAATTGAAGAAAAGTTCCGACCAACTGATAAATTAATTTACACCTTAATTAGCAGTCGATTTTTTCAGATTATAGTAGATACGTATACGATTAATAATCCCTGAAAATAGTTATTTCAGTAATAATCCCTGATTGCAGTCGTTCTCGGATGACGGTAAAGTTTTTAGTAGAAATTTCATTAAAATTTTATTAGTACTACTTTTCTTTCTTAACGGCCTGCTAATTTTTATTGTGAACCGATAATTCAATTAATTACATTTATTGAAATACTGCTTATTATTCCGGTGAGATTATATCTCTGAGTAGTTTATTATTTAAAATCTAAGTGTTCGGTCTTTAGAAAATGAAATCATCAAAGGATTAAATATATATATATATATATATACAAAGCTTCATTCTTTATATGTATATGACTTGATTCATATCTGATTTCATTATCGACTGAAAGTACCTTTAAAATGGAACTGTGTGCAAATGAATATATGTATATCATAATTGTTTTCTGGTAGCTCAATAAGTATTACGTTTTCTATTGGATCAGCTTAAAAAACTTGAGAAAATATAGAATTGACTGTTGTTCAGATAAACAAAGCAAGATTGTAGTATCCTTTCCTTTTCATAATAACTACTTTTTTTGGGTTTGTTTTAAATGAATTCATACTTTAATTCTATATTTTAAGAAGTTTTAACAATAAAAAGGGTATACTTGAAAAAAAAAAACCGCACACAGTAGAACGACAAAACTAAACATCTTCATTCTGTTCTCTCAATGATATTTTGTCCGGCTAATTTTCATGTGTTACTTTTGTCTCTCATAGTTATTACAAATTTTTAAGTGTTTTCTCCTCCTTCTGGTACTTGCTATAGTTCGAACAGTTAGTTTTTACATGGATGGAACGGCAAAAGCTAGGAGGGACTTACAGCACCCATCGAGCTCAGAGCGAACGACACGTGGTTGTGTGCAGTACAACCCTCAAAGCTGAGATTGTTATGGACTTTTTAAACGAGTTTTATGCTCACCCACTTTTGCAGGTTAGTATCATTGAACCCGAGATGTATCTTACAGTGGAATGACGAATTTGATTAGTAACGCTAAATTTCACTTTTTTCTTGGAAATAAAAACTATGCATCAAAGCTTGAAAACATCATTTTATTGGATAATTATTAATGGCAAACTGTAATATTATTGAACGAAAACGTTAACTTTACTATGCCCTTATATATATTTATCATAACATCATAAGTCAGCCCAAGCTATCATAAATAAATAAGAAAGACCAAATTTCCATTGTTCTGATTTATACAATGATGTTATAAATAAATTGTGTGAAAGTTAGAATTTTTGTGTTATTTAGCATAGCATCCACCAACACATTTGTTTCACGTTCATAACCCAGACAAAGGTAGATCAGCTTGTTCAATATAAAAACAAAAGCCGACGTAAAGTTGTTGATTAATAAAATCATTTTGGACGTTTATTATTTTAATTGAAATATAAATGATAGAAACTTGATATTTGATCTTCCATATTTATTTTATTTTCACCAGAGATAAAAAAAAACAACAACAAAAAACCTAAGCTATGAGTTAGAGGATTGATATGTTTGTTTTGAAACCCCTTTGTTGTTAATTGTAGTTTCACCTAATCAAGGCTCATTAGCACGGCTTGAGTCATCAAACTAAAGAAATACAGCAGGGCCTGTTATAATGAGTTGTGTGTGTATGTATTATTCACATATCTAACGTAGATTAGGTTACTAAATTGTGAGTTAAAAGGCCTTAAAGACACCATAAATATTACACATACACACACACATATAGATAGATAGATAATTATTTTACATTGCATTAATTATTACAACTTAACTTTCCCGGTTTTTTTCGCCAGGATTATTTTGTGGTACTACTGTCCCCTTGTGAACTGGACAGCACAATGAGGATGATCCTCCAGGTTCCATTATGGGCCCAAAGAGTAATCTATATTCAAGGGTCCGCGATGAAAGACACTGACTTAACCCGTGCTAGGTAAGTATGATCGAGTGCTTTAAACTTATATAATATGGAAATGAAGTGTAAGGTAAAATTACTGATTTTTGGCCTCAGTCTATGGTTTAGTATACTGTCATATACACACTGATATCTTAGTTTCATTACTAGTTAATGGCACAAATTAATGAAACTGCAGCTTAAATTAGTTATAGTAGAAGCCAATTTATCAATTGATGGTTCATTTTAAATCTTATCTGTAGTAGGTAACTTGTAGCTTAATTTCTCTAAACCGTTGTGTTGAACGATCCTAGTAAGTGTAATATTTTTATAATATGCTTTTTTTATGTATATGGTACTTATCTAAGAGAGAGCGAATTTCCTCAAAGCTCTCTGAATTAGTGTTTCTGCTAACTACAAAAAGGCTATTTTTTATAAAGAACATTCAAAGCAAATGGTGTTCTGTTGAATGTAGTAGTATAAAATAGTGAATCATCTTTCAGTATTAGACCTGACAAAAATGGCAAGTAAAAAACAAAACGCAATATATTTTTTTCAGCAAGAACTCAACGTACGTAGTAATCTTATAACAAATAATTTAAATCCGACATCTAAACGCAAAAGTTTAAATTTAAAGGCGTTTAAAAACAAATAAAATTTTCTCACCAAAAATATTCCCCCAGAGAAAAAAAAATCACCTGAAGATGAAGAAGTAGGATCCTTAAAAATGGATCAAGAAATTCAATAGTTTTCAGGTTATATTTTGTTCGAATTATCTATGTACCAACTAAAATATTTTCTTTAGCGACTTTTTTGAAGTATGAATAAAATCGTCAAGCGTGACATAAGCAAGTGAAAGACAAACTATAATAAGCAGGGAAGTAAGTTTCACTTGAAATTCGGAAAAAAACACAAACTGATCTTTTAATAGTAATTGTTGGAAGCCTCCAAAATGTGTCCATAACATCATGAATGAAGTACAATTAACCACGCTAACACTATAATCCACACAGAACCAAAACAATTAACTATCAAAAACTTTTCATTTCTAATTCTTAGCATTATAATCCACACAGAACCAAAACAAGTAATTATCAAAAACGTTTAATTTCTAATTCTCTGTTGTATAATTTTTTTTGAAAAAAAGGTTAAAGCCCAAGTACGATACAATTACAAGTATTTTCGTCTTCTGTTTTAACGATATTTTATATTCAGGTTCTTCATCCTTGGCCACCAAGATAAGGTTTACCTGTCATCAAAACCAGCCTTAAGGTAGGCAAAGTTAACACCTGCCACGGGGGCAAAAACGTAGTAGCAATATGAAAGTACGAACAAGATAATAACACAGTTTTGTCAAAGTGAAAAAAAAAAATTAACGAATGGAAGAAAGGAAATAAATAACATAAGAGAGAAGAAGATGGAAGTAATAAAGATTAACATTGAAGAAAGAATGAGATTGATTAAACCGAAACATGGTCCGCAAAATTTGGAGTGTCAGTAATGTCATTGCATTACGTTTCAATACGTCAATGATTATCACTTCCTGAGCCACGGTGGGCACCTTATTATTGCTGTAACAGGCTACAGAGTCTCGGACTCTTGGTTTAGGTGCAGGCGATTAAAGTTCCTACCAGATGGTGACACAGAAACAAAGAAAATTCGAAAACAATCGTTCCCTTTGTTACCAGAAGATTCCAAATCTGTATGGTCTTAGTGTCTACTGTTTAAATAGATGCGACTAATGAATATGAAGAATGTTTTCTTTGTTTCAGTATAATGAAGATCGATATAGAAATAAAGAATAATCATTTATTCATTTTAATTGGCTTTAATTAGGCCTCATGTCACATTGTGGACATCGCTTGTTTGGTGTTGAGAGCAGAAAACAGAAATAATCAATGTAAGGATCATAAAGTCAAGAATTTCGAGGGATTTAAGGCAGTGAAATAATGTGAACATGTAGAAAACAATGAAAGCATAAATCTTTATAATGTGAAATCAAGGAGGTGCTACTAAGTTTTGACAGAACAGGAATCATATCACTGTGAAAGAGTAAACACTGATAGGGAAACCAACGTATCACTGGGAAAGAGTGAACACTGATAAGGAAACCAACATATCACTGTAATGAGTAAACACTGACAGGGAAACTAACATATCACTGTGAAAGAGTAAAACACTGATAGTGAAACAACACATCATATCTCTTTGAAAGAGTAAAACACTCATAGTGAAAACAACACATCATGTCTCTTTGAAAGAGTAAAACACTCATAGTGAAAACAACATATTATATCACTGTGAAAGAGTAAAACACTGATAGTGAAACAACACATCATATCACTTTGAAAGAGTAAAACACTGATAGTGAAAACAACATCGAAAACATGACACTGGTGGCAACAACGATTGTGGTCATGTGACTGAAGTCCCAAGAAATCATATATCATGGCCAAATGATATAAGGAATGACACGAGATGACTACTTGCCATAATAGACCAACTGCAAGATCTAAAGTTTCCATAGGCCACAAATAAAATACGATTTGCTGCAACCTATTGTAAGTGACATCATACTAATGGAGAAGAAATGCACAGTTCTTGATAGGTTCAAACAATCTCAGTAAAGTGGTAAGCCCGTTTAAAAATATGAACAACAAATAGTTCAATATCAATGTTTATACTTCTCTAAAGATTCAGTTTCTGAAACAAAGGTTTGCTAAATTAAACCCAGAAACGTCAGCGTAGGTTTGTTAAATTAAACCTAGAAACGTCAGCGTAGGTTTGTTGAATTAAACCTAGAAACGTCAACGTAGGTTTGTTAAATTAAATCTGAGAGCGTCAACATAGGTTTGTTTAATTAAATCTAGGAACGTCAACATAGGTTTGTTAAATTAAATCTAGGAACGTCAACGAAGGTTTATTATATTAAACCTAAGAACGTCAACGTAGGTTTGTTAAATTAAACCTGAAAACGTCAACATAGGTTTGTTAAATTAAACCTAGAAATGTCAGCGTAGGTTTGTTAAATTAAATCTGAAAACGTCAACATAGGTTTGTTAAATTAAATCTAGGAACGTCAACATAGGTTTGTTAAATTAAATCTAGGAACGTCAACATAGGTTTGTTAAATTAAATCTAGGAACGTCAACGAAGGTTTGTTAGATTAAATCTAAGAACGTCAACATAGGTTTGTTAAATTAAATCTAAGAACGTCAACGAAGGTTTGTTAGATTAAATCTAAGAACGTCAACGAAGGTTTGTTAGATTAAATTTGGAAACGTCAGCGTACAGACAATTTTGGCGAACTCTAAGTATTATTAGTAATCATCCCACCAGGGGAGATCCAAACCCAAAAATATTTTATCTAGTAGCCCCCCCCCCCCCGATGCTCAGAGGTAACTTTCAGAGCTTATAACGGGTAGCTTTGCGCTTAACAACTAACAAACAAAAAAACTAATAATCTATTAAACAGTATAATAATTTCCTAGAATTCTTCTGACAATGCCAGTCACGGTTATTAGAGGAGAACGAATCTTCTTGTAGCTGAAACTGATCAAGACTGATTTGAGATCCGCGAGGACGCAGAAATATTGAGCTCGTTATATCGTTGAAGCTCTAGGCTTGATAAATCGTGCTCAAAATATTGGTTCAATAAAAGCCAGAATAGTGAATTTTAAATAAAATGTGGAATAGTTTTCTTTCTAAGTTTAGCATTCATTATTTTAATTTAACTGATGATCGAAATTTAAAACCTGAAAGCAAAAATAAATTTGTTTCACACGAAATGATGAATGCGTATGTTATACCAAGTGAAATAACGCTCTTTATTTTTAGTGCCGCATCATTTAATTAGGCTTACGTTTCACAAACCCAGTAGCGTATTCTCTTATTTATTTTTACAGCCGGCACTACCTACCACATAAAAATACTTTTAGTAGTTAAATGCCCTCTCGGTAAGTCTGAGGGCTTATAACGCTAAATATGGGGTTTCGATACTTACGGTGGGCAGAGCACAGATTGCCAGTTATGTAGCTTTGCGCTTAACAACAACAAGAAATGCAGTTAAATATATATACAGTACTAAAAATATTATGTTCTATTTGTTTTCATTATTTATTTTTGGTTGCCATTAATTTTTTATTGTTACAAACAGAATGAATGCGGCAGAGGCTTGTTTTATTTTGACGGCCAGAAACTACGCTGACCGCAGTGCAGCGGTAAGTCTCAGTTCTACAATGTTGTTACGTACTTGAAAGTTTCTATATTTTTGTGTCAGATTAATTTAAAATTGTTTCACTAAGCTTATTTGTAGTTAAGCACAAAGCTACAAAAGAGGCTATCTGTGCTTTGCCCACCACGGCTATCGAAACCCGGTTTCTAGCGTTGTAATAGCGCAGACATACCGCTGTGTCACTAGGGGGGGGGGGCTTGTTAAAAATTGACCAAGTCTCCTAAAATCAGTTGTACGTCTTTTATTGCCATACCGCTGTTCACTGGGGGGCAATAAAAGACGTACAACTGATTTTAGGAGAATTGGTCAATTTTTAACAAGCACTCCAGTGTACAGCGATATGTCTGTGGACTTACAACACTAGAAACCAGGTTTCGATACTCGTGGTAGGCAGAGTACAGATAGCTCGTTGTGTAGCTTTGTGCTTAAATTCAAACAAACGTCTTTTATTGCATTAAAAACTGCTTTCTTTATAAATTAAACATGATGTTTCTCTATAACTGAAAATCAGTGAATTGCCGTTCACGTTATGAAAACAATATATTATAAATCTATATAAATATAATAGTACTGCCTGTTGTATGTCCATGTAACTAGTTCTATATAAATATAATAGTACTGTCTGTTGTATGTCCATGTAACTACTTCTATATAAATATAATAGTACTGTCTGTTGTATGTCCATGTAACTACTTTGCAGGGTATGGATGAATCATCACCAAATGTGGCATGAAGGTTTGTTGGGTCCATGCGGAGATACATGCAAATTTGGGTTTTCTCATTTTGTGTTTTACAGTTTTTATTGGTGTTTTTGCGTTTTTTTACAATTACGTATAAGGGAAGCAACTTTTCATGTCCTGAGATAACCTTTCATTAATCATGAATTTACACAACTTCCGTCCAGGGTATGAGTGCTCCAGCTGGTTTTCAATATTTCTTTCGTGAATAAAAAAAGTTTTAATAAAGCAGTAATTGAGGGATGATTCCCTTTGGGTTATATAAAAGCGCCACACCTAGAGAGTACAAGTAAGTATAGGACATTTAATAATTTCTAGTTGAATGGTAATTTATGGGCTAAAAGATCAGGCCAAGATAGCTGTATTAACTGTCCCTAATTTAGAATTGCCGACAACAGCGGAGACAACTAATCGGCTGTAACCACCACCTACATAGCTACTCTGATCCGAATAGCGTAATTAAATATCACTTTTATAACGCGTCTCGAGCTGAAAGTCTAAAGCATTTTAAACGAAATGACGTGGGCTCGAACCTTTCATCTGATGTTGTCCTGCATTACACATTAACAACTATGCCACTTCCTACCTATAACCATAAGGTTAGAATAAACTAATATTTTGAAGATAACCTATTTTCAAACGATGACAGTTATTCATAGCGTTTATTATTTAAAAAACAAAGACAACTAAACATTGTTTTATCTACAACAAAAATACTTCCTGTAGGACTACAGAAAATGTATTTATAATATTAGTGTTTTGAAATAGCTATTAATAAAAATAAACACTAAATCAAATCAGATTTTCAGAAACACTCTAAATTAGGCGGTGGATGGAGGGCGTTAACAACAGCATTTCAAACCCTGGGTGAATATATTTAGGCAATATAAGATATCAGGAGTCTATTACAAGGTTGAACAAAAACTGATTTTTTAATACGGTATGAATTGGACGACAAGTTACCACCATAATGCATACGTATATTTTGTAATTTGATTTTTAACAAAAACTAAAACAGACTTTTTTTTCTCTCTAAAATGTTTCATTTATATATACACTGAGTGGTCACAAGTAAATAGACACCTAATTTTTCGTCATTTAACTGATTTATGCTAACTAATTTGTGTTCACAGAGCATTATATAAATGAAAATGGTCCTCACACTAATTATCTTGTGCTACAACATGCCTAGAACTCAATGTTCCCTCGGATTGTCAGATTTTGTTAGAGGAAGGATAGTTGGTCAAGCAGATGGTGGAATAAGTCAGCGGCAAATTTCGCAGAATTTGGGAATCCCGCTTTCTACAGTCAACAGAATCATCGTGCAGTTCAGGAAACACGGCAAGGAAACCACTGAGAAGCGTCCAGGTCGTCCTTGTCCATCGGAGAGGACAAAAAGAGCTGTCAAGAGGAGCATCGAAATGGATCCCAGATTAACGATTGCAGAAGTGGCCAAAGTTGGTGGGATGAGCCCGAAATCTGTTCAACGGATTCTTCACAGATTGGGTTATCGTTGCAGAGCAGCTAGACGGAAGCCCTTATTAAGACCTGCCAACATAGTCAGACGAAAGAAGTGGGCAAATGATGTGATGACCAAGCTTCTGGAGTTTTGAAAGACCGTATTGTTCTCAGACGAATCAAGCTTCGCTCAATTTTCGGGACAGTGGAAGGATATGGGTCTGGAGAATGCCTCACCAAGAGTTTTGGCTCAACAGATTGCAGCTAAATGTGAAGCATGGTGGTTTCAGAGTGATGGTTTGGGGAGCTGTTTGGGCTAGTGGGAGATCGAGCTTAGTGGAGTGCGTTGGCAAC